AAAAGTTTGATACAATGGAATCTCAATGTTTTGAGAAGTCAAAACAAGAAATGTACATAAAGAACTTGGTAAGAATAACAGCAAAATGCAAAAGATATAAAGAAAAGAAGCAGCAGAAGACATTAATTCAGAGAAAAAATATATAAGCAAAGAAAAGCTTATAACTCAGAATAAATATAATATGAAGTCAAAAGATAGAAAAAATAAATAGAAAAACAAAAATGATTAGAACAAAAGAAAAGACAAGAAGGATTTTAATGCTATAATTCAAAAACAAGAAAGATTAAAAGAAGAAACTAAAAGCATAAAAAAAATACAGAAACAAGCAATAGATATAGAAAACTTACTAGGCCAAATACTAGAAAGATTAGAAAAACTAATGATATTAGAAGAGAAGACATAAAAAGCTCAATTTAACTATTTCTAAAGATACTATAGTTGAACAAATAAGAATAAATAAAAAACTCAAGAATTTTTTGTAAAAAAAAAAAAAAGTATTTGAAAAAAAAACAGTATCTTCTTATTAAAAAGAAAAGCAAAAAAGAAAAAGAAAAGGCAATCAATATGGAAATATTGCAAAACTAATTAAAAGAAAAGTAGAAAAAAAAAGAGATAAGAATTGCATATCATAATATTAATAGATTAAAAACTAAAGATTGAAAGCTTGAAAATCTGCTTAATTGAACAAAAAAAAGAATACAATACTGAGAATTACAGAAATAAATCTTACAAAAAAAAAGAAGAAATTTTAGTATACAAAATAATAAACAGATATATCAGATATTGGAATAGTGTAGCAAAAAACAAAAAAAAAGATTCAAATATAGAAGTTCTGATAGAAGAACAATAAACAAATCATATAGATACTGTCAAGAAAATAAATGAATATATAATAAAAATTATATTATATTTTAAGCAAATAGAGTTAATAGTAATAGAGATCTATATATCACTAAGTAACAAAGAAGTAGAAAGAAGTATTCAACAAAAAATAGTAGAAATTGTTATAAAGAAAATAAACAAATATAAATAGTAATTATAAAAGACTTTAATTATACAGTGAATAATATTTTAGATAGGCAGAATCTACAAGCTGCAAGCTACAAAAGATTACCAATATTTAGTTAAATAAAAAGACAAGACTTCTATGATATATATAAAGAAATATATCTAACTAAACAAAGATATACATAGTCAAACTCAGAAATAACAACAAAAATTGACTATATATAGATATTAGAAGGGTTCACTTTAGGCTTACAAAGAGCAAAATTTGAAAATATAAAAGAAATTACTAAGAGTAATCACAAGATAGTAATAGCAAAAATATAGATTAAACATATAATAGCAAAAAATAAAGAACAATATATTTTTATAACAACACAAAAGAGAAAGAGTAAAAAAGTTATGCACAAGAGTTATAAAAGTGATTAAAGATAAAAAAAGCTTTAAGAAATATATAAAAAGAAGAACATGAAGAAAAAAAAAATACAAAAAATTAACAATATATGAGATAACAGCAGCAAACAAACATGTATCTAAGAAAAAAGTCTATAATATGATGATAAACAAAAGGCATAGTCAAGAAAATCAATAACAAGAAAAAATTATTATAAAGTTTCAAAGACTAGTCAAGTATGCAAAGACAAAAAAAGAGCAAGAAGTTGTAGAAATAGATAAAAATAAAATAAATAGAAAACTCAAAATGTTAGACAAGAAAATTAGTACAAAATTATCAAAAAATCTAAAGACAATAGACTAATGCTTAAATAAAGAACATAAAAGACTGACAGAAAATTTTTCAAAAAAAAAAAAAAGAATAGAAACAAAAACAAAGAAGACAAATTAAAGACAACATAAACAAAAGATATAAAATAATCAAAACTGACTAAGAAAAAATAATAGCTAGTCTTTTAAACAAGCTATGCAAAAAGATAATACTTGACAGAATAATTGAACAAACAGAAGAAAAAACTAAACTAATAACAGAATCAGAACTAGTCAAAAAAGCAATAGTAGAACATTATAAGAAGCAATTTAAGAAAAAAAATGCATAATTAGAAGAAATATCAAAAAGCTAAAAAGAAATATATAAACCACAAGACTATATTAAAGAAGAATAATATAAAAGAATCTAAAAGAAAATTGAGAAAGAAGAATAAAAAGAGATAATTAAAGAGCTTAAAACAAAAACAGCTCTATGAATATTAGGAATAAGCTATACTCTAATTAAATAAGCAGGAAAAAAAATATAAGAGGTTTTTAGAATTTATGCAAATTTGTGCTTAGAGGCAGGAAAGATACTGATGAAATAAAAAATAATACAAGTATATTCAATACCAAAAGACATTAAATAGAAATACAGTTTAAACAATATTTGATCAATAGCACTAATTAAAATATTTAGAAAAATGATAATGAAGTTAATAACAAAAAGGTTTAGCAAAATATTTACTAAGAAAGAAATACTTAAAGGATCAAACTATGCAAACCTACTAGAAAACTCAATAGAACAACCAGTACATGTTCTAAATATGATAATAGAAAAGGCAAAAGAAAAGAATAAAGAGCTATGAATATTTCTGCAAGATATAAAAAAGGCATTTAACTCAGTTTTACTTAAAAGTTTTTAAGCTAGCTCTATAGAAAGTCAAAATACCTAGCACAGATAAAAAAATCAATTTTTAACTAAATAATAACCAGTAATATTTGGTACAAATTATAACTTATTTACTATATATTTACTAGGTAATATATGTAATTTAATATATTTTTAGTTAATATGTTTAAATGCATATATTACCTAGTGAATATATAGTAAATAAGTTATAATTTGTACCAGAAATTACTGGTTATTATTTAGTTAAAAATTGATTTTTTTATCTGTGTAGGATGACAATCAAGTATATCTTAAACCTCTTTCATAAAAGGCAGTTTAAAATAATTATAACTTATAACCTAACAAAAGAAATAATAGCAAAAGATAGAATAAATCTAGATGAAGTAATATTACTACTAATATGGCAGCTTTTTTACAATTCACTACTAGAAAAGATACAAAAAGATAAAAAATTAAATTATATAATAGAACAAGAGATTAAAGAAAAAATATAGTATAACAATATTACAAGCCACTACTAAGCAGTAATCACATATACAAATAATACAATATGGATTACAAGTAATAAAGAACAATTGTTAAAAACCTTAAAGATGGCAAAAGAGTTTTTCAAAATGAATAATATAAAAATAAATAGATCTAAATCCAAACTAATAATAATAAACAGAAAAAATAAAAAAAAATAAAAAAATAACTTTTAGAAGAAACAAGTTAATAAAAAAGCCAAAAAACAAAATAGTTTATTTATTAGAAATCTGACTAAACAATAGAATGCAAGAAGTTTTAGTAAGAAAAAAAGCAAAAAAATAATAAGCCAGACAATAAAAAACCTTAAGTACAAAAAAATAACAATAAGTCAGATTGAATATATAAACAATATAATAATAATATTAAAATTAAATTATATGTTGCAATTAACAAAGATATTAAAGAAAAAGATAAATAAAATATATTAACCAATAATATATTTAATAAAACAAAAAAACAACTTACCAAGAACACTAGAGAACTGGATAATAAAATATAAGAACCTTTGTAGTTACAAAACCCTGCAACAAGAACTAATAATAAAACAAATAAGAGGTCTAGTAGCAAGACTAAACAGAAGAGATGAACTAGGTCAACTAATAAAATTAAGAATAATACAAGTCTGTCAAAGAGCAAGTTTAACAGAAAACATATAGAAAATAGAAAAATTGCCAGAAGACAAGTCATATTAGAAAAACAATTTAGTCTGTCTGATAATAGTCAAAGCAAAAGAGTTAAAAATAAATATAAGTATAGAAAGTGAATTATAAACAGCAATTAGTTATAGTTCTAGAATAATCAAACTATTAGAACTATGACTATAGAAAAGAAGTGAAGCCAAAATAAGTAAAGCTAAACTAATATATCTAAATTAGCTATTTGATATAAAAGAAGAAAAACTAATAACATGACAGCAATTTAAAAGCTATTAGAAACAATTAAGTAAAGCAAAAAAGCAGAATGATTCAAAAAAAAAAAAAATGCTTAACAGATTTGAAAGAAGAGAAGTTAAAGAATAATTCAAGACAAACAGATGTAACAAATAGGCAATGAAGATTAATTAGGAAAGTTTATCAAAGAACAGAAGAAAAAAGAATAGATAATACATAATGCAACAAAGAATAAACAATTAAGAAAAATAGTTAAAAAAAAAAAAAAAAAGTTATTGATAAAAATACTAGCAGATGCATAACATAAAAAACAACTTAATAACTAAAATTGACAAATGCAAAAGATGTATAAGAGAAAAAGAAACAGTAAAAAATTGCTATCAACATTGAATAAGAATCAACATCAAGATAAATATAGTTTTAGATATATGCTAATAGAAAGAAACAACAATATAATTAAGGCAGTTACTAACTAATTAATAAAATATATAAAAACAGAAAAGTTAAAAGAAATAAACAAAAGCTAATAGAATTTAAAATGTTAAAGGTTTAGAAGTAGAGTTAGTTAGAAAACAAAAGCTAAGAGAGAATATTAGTTAAGAGTTAATAAAGATCTTAAGAAGAAACATATTAAAAAACAAGAACAAATATACAACATATCGGCTGATTTTGTTTTTTGGGCCTTTTTTATATAGATGTAAATCATTTTTTAAGGCCTTTTTTTGATCAACAAAAAATTTAATTGGTTAATAAATTTTAAATATTTTAAAAAACACAAATAAAAATTGTTACATATATAAATTGTCGTGTCTAACCAATCGTCCGTCTATAGAACCAATCAAAGAAATAGGTAAAGAGAAGTTAATTGTATAATTTATAAGAGATTTTAAAAATTTATAATATTTGTTTAATTTACTTATATTTTTATTTATAAAATATTCAGTAAAACTGTTTTATACAAGATGCAAGTACGTAATATTAAATATATATAATATAACTTATATTATAGAAAAGACAGTATATTAATTTTCTTTTATTGTATTAGTTACTTGCAGAAGAATCTTCATATAGTTGTTCTGTTTGCAAAAAATGGTTTAAAACAAAAAGAGGCTTAATGCGACATAATACAATTGTTCGTGGTTATAATCAAAACCCTCCCGGTACATACAAGCTTCCTTTAAAAGCAAGCGTTGAATTAAAGAAAATTCTTGTTAAACACATTCAAGACCGATTAAAAGAACATTTTACATATTCAGGCTTGCAAAGAGTATTAATACCATGCACATTAAGTCAATTTTATAGCATATTTAAAGGTTATATTCATCGTCGATTTTCAAAATCTGGAAGGGTAAGATGCTTATTTCAGGGTGAAAATGCATATTCCTTAATTGGCCAGATTTTAAATGATATACAATGGGGGACTAAACATTTTATCAATAATCAACGAACTTATGTTACTTTTCGGCCTCCCCGTGAGCGAGCACCACGCTCTAAACAAAAAGAAGTGAAACCAAGAATTACGCAAGTTATAGTAGATTGGTATCAAAAGGCCAAAACTGATACACATGAACATATTACTTGGTCTGGGTATATTAGTTTTAGATTTTTTGTCGCAAGAGGCCATTTTTAATGGATTTTTTTAAAAGTAAGTATCTTGTATATTTTTATTCGAATTATTAAATTTTTTATACTAAAATTACTCTTTTATTTTAATAGATGATAAATGTTAAAGCATTATAGAAAAAGTCTAAGCTTAGTATATAGTTTTTAAATATGTACTTAAGTTTAGTAATATTAAATAAAATTTACATAGTTTATAACGTAAACAGTATTTTTATTTTGTTATATTTAACATATTATCAATTAATTTTTATAGCATAGAATTTTCTTTTAAAAAATTTTTTAAGTGAAATTTTATTTACAGCCTTTTATCTTTTAATCTAGATATTTGTAAAAAATTTTATACACTAATGTTAAGCTTAGAGATCTAATTCGATAAATAGTATACTCAAATATTCACTACCGTACAGCGCTGCATATAGTACCCGGGTATTTTCAAGAAAGTTGGCCTAGATTGAATAATACCCCCCAAATATTGAAAGATGGGAAGATAGTACGAATAATTGTTGCTGGTCAATATATGCCTTGCTATATACATATCAAATCCAACGAAAAGATCGCACTATAACTATGAAAATTGGACACAAATCGCTTGTCAAAAAAAGGGGGGATACTACTCCAGGGGGGTACTGTATGCAGCACTGTACGGCATATTCATTAAATATCTGAATACTCAAATCTAAACTATTTTTACCAAATGAATATCCGGATGCGTAATACAGTACTTAATATTTTTCTTGCAACATAGTTTTGACTATAAAATATACCCGAATCTTTCATAAATTTTATTTAAACACTTTAATATTAGACCCTATTTTTTAATCAGTACACTATTGTACTATATTTAATACATTTTTCAGGTAGCCTAATAGAATTAATAAATTGATATAAATTCAATTCTTAAAATCAGAAATAATCTATAATATAAAACTTATACAGGAAGGTTCCCAAAATTTCAGGTCGAAAAGCATTAGAATTCTGATCAGCTGAACCGGAATTGATCAATTTTGCCCAATATCACTAAAAATTTTACTAATGGAAATCATTGCCGTTCATTAAATACAAAATGCCCAGCTGATAGTTTTGCTATAGACCGTGCTAACCAGTATTTCTAATATTGGCATAGCTCCGATGCCTTTTGACCCGGAATTTTGGAAATTGCCCTGTAAAAAATATAAAATAGCATACCATTTGTAACATTCTTGGTGTTGCAAAATACTGTACATGAACCTGAGTCAGTAAAGCATATTATATCTATTATATCATCAATGATATTTTTTCCCAACCTCCATGCAGAGCAGATAAAACAGCTTGAAGTCACGGAATATTAGAATGTGATAGTATAGATTCCTTCTTAATAAATAATTTATTCTACCTTATATCGTACCAGAAGTAATCATGAGAAAATATTAAAAAAAAAAGTTAAAAAATGGTATAAACCCAATTAATAATTTACTAAAAAAAAAAATACTACACCAAATTGGATTTGATATCCAAACTCAAGAAGATATCCAATTAATTGATGAAAGACTATCATAATATATTAGATATGTAGAATTTTCGATTATTCGAGCATTTTCAAATCTACTATGGTAGTAGCAATCCATAAAATAGATAACAAAAGCAACAAGAAAGTTGTTTCTTTTCCTTCGAGATTATGCCGATTCCTACTTATGTAAGCATACATTTGACAAGGTGAACCCGAGCAACATCACCCTATGAAAATAAGTTTAATTGAATAAAATATAAAACAGCACCCAATAAATAATAGCTAGCATACTTAGATGGAACTCGAGCCCTTGAAACGCATCAGAAAGTATATTATTGAAATCTGGTTCAATATATCAGTATCATCGTATTGAAGGTTGTGTCTGTAAGTTTTTATGCGGCCTTATATTTACCAATAGCCCTATATATTATTCGAAAAATTTTCAAATTATCCGGTCATATTTCCTTGAAAAGTGAAACTAATGACCATACAGTATATACAATTAGAATTAGTGTTTGTGAAAATTAATAAAAAATTAAACGTACATGATTATCTAAATCGAAGCATTCTATACAAGATGTCTCCTTTAAACAGCATTAATAGAGTACAGTCTTTAATATTATACCTCTAAATAAACTCCCCATAATAATTGGCTTCAGGTCATTTACAATCGCATGTCAAATCCATTCTTTTCAAGAAGTAATCCTGAATGGAAAGACAAGAGTGAATATTCAGTTTCATGATAATATTGATAACGGCAGAAAAAGAGTAATTAAGATCTAGTAAAATGCCATTAATAGGTTACAAAAACAATTGTAAATTAAAATTATACATTTTAAACCACCTGAACAATCATGACAACTCGTTTCCCAAAGTGCATTTCATCAACCTAATGTGAATTATGTTTTCAAGAGGCCATGGTTCTTGGCATTCACAATAAGAAAAATAATTCTCTTGACCTGTTATACTAACATCCTTATCAAGTATAGTTTGATAATGTGTATATAACCACAGTAATCAAAATAATCCGCTTCTATCTCTCTCTATGAACGTGGTTATTATATTATAATAATAAAGCTATAAGTTTGTTAATACGTATCCGAATCGACTATGTGCAACATATTACATACCAAATCTGACAACCATCTGTAGATCTATCAGTAGGCTTATCTCAACCACATCTCCTACTCTAAAGAGTTATGTCATCAACTGTAACTTGTTCAAGACAATACGATTCTTTAAGCGAATTATCGAATAACCATTAACTCTTGTAATCAATCTCTCTGAATTTGTAATTCTGAATATATACGATTGGGATACATTCACTTTCGTTGATTAAACATGAAGGCCATATGATCACATAATAATGAAATGAAATCGCTCCAAATACCTGAAGGTTATAGTATTTTTTTGGCCAATTAGACCATCCTGTAAACTATAGATGGCGCTTGAGAATAGTCTAAATAAATCTATATATAAATAAGTTGAGAAATAATCTATTTAATAATAAATTCCA